AGGCAGGGTATAAATAAATAAATAAATAAATAAATAAATAAATAAATAAATAAATAAATAAATAAATAAATAAATAAATAAATAAATAAATAAATAAATAAATAAATAAATAAATAAATAAATGTTGCATCATGCAAAAAATACATAAATTGGAATGCAGATTGCTATAGCGATGGTGGCAAGAGGATTGGGCTTCACTTGAATGAATACATAACTAAACTGCCGGTGCATAACATTAAAAAGGTGGCAGAGCACCTTTTAAACTGAATCCCAGGAGGAAGCCAACAGAATCCGAGCGGCATTCATTTTGGGACTCTTCATCCCGGTGGAATGAAGGTGGAGAGAGTAGAGAACAACAAAGTGATGATAGTGTAGTAATTAGGACTGAGAACATGATGGAATGTGATTGTTGATTCACTGGAAGGAGAAGCAAGCAAGCAGCCCATTTGAGGGACCCCATATACAGGTGCTTTTAGGCAAATCCCCGAAGTGTCTGAGCAAAGATGGGAGAGCTGGAACATTTGGTGGCTAGGGATAACACTGATATAGTGGTCATAACGGAAACCTGGTGGGATTCAGAGTACCAGTGGGATGTCGCAATCCCAGACTATAAACTCAACAGGAGCGATAGGAAGGGGCGTGCTGGAGGTGGGGTGGCCATCTAGGTCAAAGAAGGGGTGGAATCCAGCAGAATGGAGATGGACGCCAGGTCTGACGCCATCATAGAATCACTGTGGGTTAAATTGCCAAGCCGAGGAGCAATGTGATAGTGGGGGCGTGCTATCATCCTCCAGATCAAAAACTTGAGGGGAAAAATATGAAATGTGGAGAGAAATCAGGGAGGTGTCCAAAAGGGACAGGATTGTAATCAAGGGGAACTCCAATTATCCTGACCTCGACTGGGTCAATGTATCCTCGAGTCAAGAAAGAGAGACCAGGTTTCTTGACATGGTAAAGGACTCTGCCTTGGAGCAAATTCTCATGGAGCCCAACAAAGGACAGGTGACTGTGGCTCTATTATTGTGTGGTACTCAGGACACAATAGTGACCATGCTGCATCTCTTTCACGCTGTATGTTGGGGGGGGGATGAGTGTCAAGCAAATCTGACACAAAAACCCTTGATTTCCAAAGAGTGGACTTCCCTCAGACTAGGAAGGAAGTTAGAAAGAAGTTGAAAGTGAAGGTTAAAAAAAAATCTCTCCAGAGTGCATGGAGTCTGTCAAAGCAACGGTGGTAGAGGCCCAGCGGAAGTGTATACAGTGGTGCCTTGCTTAACGATGTTAATTCGTTCCAGCAAAATCACTGTAGAGCGAAAATATCATCAAACAAAATAAACATTGAAACGCATTGAAAACCGTTCAATGCATTCCAATGGGCTGAATACCTGCTCGTCCAGTGAAGATCCTCCATACGGCGGCCATTTTCGGTGCCCGTAAAGCGAGGAATCCATCCTAGAAAACAGTAGTTCCCGAAGCAGGGAACCGATCATCGTTAAACAAAAAAACCCATTTAAACCATCATATTGCGATCACAAAACCTTAATCGTATAGCGATTTCCTCATTAAGCGAGGCAATCGTTAAGCGAGGCATCATTGTACTGCAAAAAAGGGGGCTCAACAAAGTCCAAGAAAGTGCTGGAGTGCTTAATGAGCAAAGTTACGAAGAGGTAAACGAAAATTCTTCCCAAATGAAGAAATTTAAAAAGAACACAGACTCTGGCAAAAGAAATGACAGGAGATGATACGAAAGGCTAAGAAAGACTTTGTGATAAATATGGCCAACAATATAAGGGGAAATAACAAAAGTTTCTTTAAACAGTTTAGAAGCAGGAAACTTGTCACAGAAGCACCGGGCCCTCTGGATGGTGAGGGAGGTAAAGGGGAGGTAAAGGGGGAATTGGGAGATTGCAGATGAATTAAATGATTTTTTTGCATCTGTTTCCACCACAGACGATTTTGGCCAGATTCCGCTGCCCAAACGGCCCTCCTTGAATAATGAATTAAATCAGATGCAAGTTATTCTACTCAAGCCACACATGTCACCTCCATTGGCCTGGAAACGATTAACAGGGACTAAAATGGGAAGGAGCATTTTTCCAGCAGTAGAGATGGCAGAAAACCATAAAGACATTCACACCCTGGCAGAATTTGTATATAAGACTTCAGGAGCCATAGACCTCTTGGAAAATGCCAATATGGAGATAGAAGCAAAATTAAAGGCTGAAGTAGTTCTCTGAAGAATATGGTTTTGCAACAGAGGTTAGCCACTGATAGGATGTTCCGGCATTGTGGTGGCCTGTGTGCATATGTAAATCAAACATGTTGTATGTACCAGGATGCCTCAAAAGGACTAGTATGGGATCATGATGTCAGAGCAGGTTCTAAAATCTGCTATTAAGGGACCCTCAGATTTCCATCAAAGTGCATCAAACCACTTGATGAAATTAAAGTATTTGATGGATAAATGGAACATCTCTACTGAGAATTAGGACAAATTAGTTACTTGTAACATCATGGATTGTCTTTTCTTTAGAAATAAAATTTAAACAAAATTTAGGACAAACTCCTTCAGCCCAAAGGTGCAGCAATCCCTCAAAACAAAGAACTTGGGTTTGATCCTGACTATGGGGATCTGAAAGTACAAATCCGCCATTCATATAGGGAATATAGGAAGACTGACTCTGCCCAAGATTGACACAAATATCTCTCCCTGAAAATTCAGTTGAGGAATTCTGTAAAAGAAAAAAGGCAGAATTTTATTTTGGAGCAATGAAGCAAGCTCCAACAGGCAGTGACCCAGAAAAACAATAAACTATTTTGGGCCATCGTGGCTGGCTACTTCAGGCTGGAGGTACAAAACCCGGCCATAATATCTCCACCAAGATGGGTCCAATATTTTTCAGACCTTCTTTTTGACAAAGATAGAGCTGTTAGACCTTCTATACTCTTTGTTCCCCCGATCTTGCTGTTTAGCCACCACTAACCATAGAAGAGACCAAAGATATAATCACGAGGGAGTGAAGCAGGGCTGCATTCTTGCTCCCAACTTATTCAACTTATTTACAAATTACCCAGCCCCGTTTCCAACTGGTGTGGAGGGACAGCCACCACAATTGGGTATGCATCGTGTCCTGTTATTGCTTTATGCAGACAATGCTGTTATCATCTCGCACGCCCACCCAGGTTTGAAATGTTTAATTAACAGAATTGTGAAATACCTGAACAAAAACAAAATCTAACTAAATTATAATAAATCAAAATTTTTGGTTTTCTCAAAGTTGTGGGAGCCATTTCAATGGAATCTGAATGGGCACAAAATAGAACAGGTGAA